CTACTACTACTACTACTGCTACTACTACTACTGAGCCATTGCAACCATGTCTCATCTTCCATCCGGTCAATGCACGCTCGCTCATTGTTGTGGGAGTGGTAGCAGTTCGTAGTTGTCGTCGTAATAGGAGGAGTAGATTTAGTGAGAAGTAACAGTAATTAGTCGTAGTCATCGCAGTGGTAGTAGTAGTAGTAGTAGTAGTGGTTGTTGTAGTGACAACAAGAACAGCAGCAGCAGCAGTGGTAATTAGTGGCAGTGGTAATTGGTGGTAGTGGTGGTGGTAGAATGGTAGAAGTAGTCGTTGTCATCGTAGTACAAGGAATAGTACAAGTAGTAGTAGTAGTAGCAGCAGGATCAGTAGTAGTAGTACTAGTAGCAGCAGCAGCAGTAGTAGTAGTCCTCCAAACCTTCGACATCGACATCATCATTATCATTATAAGCATCCTCATCCTCATCCTCCTCCTCATCATCCTCCTCATCATCATCATATTAAGCAAAGTACTGCCGTCAGACTGTCGGAACAACAATTCATGATGAAACTCAGATACGAATCTTACTAGCATGGAAAAGAACGTTTCCCAATCATAGCCGTCACATCACCAGCACGTGGATGGGCACGATGCTTCCAAAGGATTACAATTGCATGACTCAGCAACTGCTAAATTAAGCCGCATTCAAAGCTTTATTAGCTAAGCCTTTGTTGAAGCCTTCTTTTTTAAGGCGTGTTTACAGATTCAGTGTGCATTTGCACGGATTCCGTGTGTATTTGCACGGATTTAGTGTGTATTTGCATGGATTTCGTGTGTATTAGCACGAACTTGGTGTGCATGTGCACGAAGTTCGTATGTCTTTGCACGGATTTAGTGTGCATTTGCACGGTTTTAGTGTGCATTTGCACGGATTTGGTGCGATTTGCAGCCCTTATAATAGCGTTTCTTAAGTCTCCAGAGAGCCCAGAGCTTCAGGTCACCCCAAAATCTCGATTCCGGGTGGGGAAAGGGCCCAAATGACACCCCCGGGGATTGAGCCCACGACCTTCCCGAGGAGGGCTTTGGAGGCAGACGTTTACCCATTAGGCCATGGCCAGATGGTTCTGGGGGCGGGCGGCTGCCTCCCTAGGGGATTTGGGCACGGTCGCAGGCCCAATTCTGGCGGTGTCCCCGTGGGCCCTTTCCCCATCCAGAATCGAAATTTGAAATGACCAAAAACCGCCAAGAGCACAACCAAACCCGCCGAAAACCCGCGCAAACCCACCAAAACCCACCCATTCCCACTTTCCCATGCCCCTTTGCCCAAACGCCATTGGCGCCGATGCTGCGGATGTTCTACTCCTGCTATTGACAATACCACTACTACTCCTGCTCCTGCTGCCGCTGCGATTGCTGCTAATTACTGCTGCGACTGCTACCACTACTACTACTACTACTACTACTACTACTACTACTACTACTACTACTACTACTACTACTACTGCTATTTCTCCGACTACTACTACTGCTGCTACTATCAACAACAACATCATCATCTTCTTTTCCTGGACCATGATCATCGTCATCATTACCATCACCACCACTACCGCCATCTTCATCATAACAAGCATCACCGTAATCGTCATCATCATTTTCATCGTCATCATTTTCATCATTTAATTACTTGTAGAACCTGTGTTTCTGGCAGTTGAGATAACAACGGGACCCTAATTATAAAAACATTCTCGAGTTTTTATTTAGGGCGAAGGGGGGGGGGGGCCCGACCATTTAATATTAGGGGGAAGGGATTATTAACATAACACGTGCCAGATGTATGCGTCACAAAATGTCGCAAAAGCAAGTCTTCAGATTTCGAAACGAGGCTGGCACCGGTCTTCGGGGTCACAGGCTCAATCTCGATGAAGTGTGGCTTACAAGGCATCATGCACATGCTTCCCCTGGATTCGCAGCAAGCTGAAACTGGAGACTAAGCAGGGCAGTCTCTCAATGACCTTCTTACATTTCTTACATTTCGTGTCGAGACGACCCTGGAGGTGTGCCGTGGGCGGCTTCAGGCAACCTGGCGGCATCATAGTTCAACATCGCACGTCACATGCTTGCTGAAACGATTGTTCCTGCTGTTTCAGTCGTCCCGGTGCTGGGCGATGCTCGCTTCTGCTGTGAACTGGAATGTTGAGTTTAGCAGAATGACCAGAGATCATTAGCAATCTGATTCGTCCATGATAGTTGTTCGCACCATCGAAGAGAGCGTGCTGCCAAGTATCGGCATGGGCCACCTGAGGAAACATGCTGAGTTCCGCGTACCACTTTGTGCCTAGCCTTGGTTCAGATGCGAGCATGGTTTCCTGCGTAGATGCTGTCAGCGTTTCGCTTCTAATGTTTCTGTTGAGAATCGGTGTTCATGAGTGTTCCTGCTGTTGCTGATGGGTGACCAAAACGGACTGTTCACGGCACGGACCTGCAGTTGAGAGTGTTGCTGTTTCAGAATGACTCGCATCTAATTGTGTTTTTTGCGGCTGAGGCGCATTACGTTCAAGGGTCTGATGCCGAGGACCTCCATGATGCTTAGATCCACGATGCTGTGGAAAAGGCTGAGCAACAGGAAAGCAAGCAAGGGCCCAACAGTTGCTACTCCCACACGGGACACAGCGGACTCATCCGGAATTCAGGCCGAATGTCAGACATTGTCAGACCTCAAGATCTGGAACTATAACTCGAGAGCGCAACATGGTCGAACCTTGAAGCAAGTCCAGTTGGCAAGAGGTCTGCGTGCTTCAACGACCCCTTTGCTAGATTTTTCTCCGGAAGTGAAATCTTCATGCTTCGAATGGGCGGAACTTGTACAGCTCCATGAGCAGAGTCCAGCAGTTCTTCAGGCGTCGGGCATCCGTGCACCTGTACTTCCTGATCTCTAGCAATCTCTAGCACAGCTGTTGGTCACTGGCATCCTCCATAGTTAGATGCTGGACGGTTGACTGCATGATTCAATCCTGCTGTAACCCGAAACTCCCTGAGAAATTTTGCGAGTGATGACTAAACGAGCACAGCGGTATTGACAGGAAGCGGAGTGTTGGAGTGGCTGCACAGATGCTTCCAAAACACTTCCGATGTCCATGCGCGGCTAGGACCTGAAAAAAGCCGTCGTTCCGCTTGGCATGTGGGTGTGTCTCGACTGCAAAGAATGGTGCTATGTTGAATGTTTTCGCTTGCTTTTGGAGCAGCAGCGAGGTTCTTCCTCATCGGTGTAGTCCTCGGAAACTCTCACCACAGCAGGCTCGCGGACACACAAAACCTTGATCCGAATCAGTGTCGATCTAGCCACGATGGCGATTGTACTTTCTCACGGGTGCGATTGGTTGGCATGGAAAGTTCAGCGTGACCGGCAGCGAAGTCAATCAGCGAATCTCAGCCAGTCGCCAGGTCCAGCCTCATTTGCATCTCCGTCGTGGCTTGTCACCACTGACAGGTACTGACAGCAAGGAGATGGAACGATGCGTTACTTAAGCTTGCACCGGCACGTCAGTCCAGGGTCAAGGATGATGTGCGAAGACAAAGCGTTGGGCACTGCGAACGAATCAAAAAATGCATCGGACTTCGTACACTTCACAAGGATGAAGTGGGAGCTGATCGGAAGCTAAGTTCATCGAATCGTCACACTGACAGTCGTCCACCTTCACGAGTCCCCCCAGTCCAAGGCATTGGCAGTGCTCTTCCTTGCCATGAGTGCACCTTGTCCTGCAAAGCCCCCAAAGCCTCCACATCTTGCACTTTCTGGAGGCCTCTCCGAGAACACCCTCGTTGATGCGGTCCCTCCCTCCCTCCCTCCCTCATGAAGGATTTGCTCCGGAGCCGCCGAGGTGGTCCTGCCCAAGAAGAAGCAGGCTACAACAGGTGTCATCGGCCCTTGACTTCTGCGCTTTGCATCAGGCCAGCTAACCGCCCTAAGGAGGTGACTACCAACTGTTTCCAACGAAGTCTCGGCGTCGTTATTATTCTTGCTGCGTGATCCGCTTATCTTGTTCCGTGACGCGGTGGTTTCTTTTGTGCTCTTGTGCGCAGTCGTTTCTTCCTCTGCGTGCTTTGTTACCCGTGCATTCTGCTGTGTTTGTGTTGTTTTGTTTTCGTGTGTTGCTTTCCACTTCGTGATGTGCAACCGGTCGGATGCTTCCGGTAGAAATCTGCCTTTTTGTTCAGCCGAAGGGACTATGCAGCAAACACGAGAGTGTGTAAAATGCACATGGCAGGTTGCAAATGATCAGGTTCTGCCAATGTGAACCGAGCTCGTACCAAGCCAATCCACTAATCCACCAATGATATTTCAGGCATGCATCGGAAAGCGGCTTTAGCATCCTCGCCCCATTCAAGGTGACTGGTTGTACAAGAGCCGTGCAGCCATAGCCAAGGCAAGACAGAATGCAATAGTCGAGATCTGGCTACACAAACGTTGCCGAAACAGCCAGGATCAATGACATCAATCGACGAATGTACTGTCCAGGTTCAAACTTCAACAGCCAAGCCAAACCCATCTGAATCTGACAAGTTTGAAAACCGCAATCGGCAGCAAACTCTGGGGCGCTCCCTACATCCCCTTGTATGCATTCGACCACACCAAGCCGGGACGAACAAAAGCCTTCTCCGAAGGTTGCATCTTGATTCAAAAAAATAGGTGCGAGCAAACAGCTTCCACGACACTGGGTCGATTCTGAAGTGCTACCTGCACAGGTGAATGCAATGCGCGTGGCCTGGCTGCCCAAGTGCAGCAGCACCCACCGAAAGCTGCGGTGATATGTCGCGAATATGTGCGGGAAGTTGCTCTCAACATCTAGTAGCCAATGAGCATGGTTTACAAGAGTGTCGCTGACTTCGACTCTCGGAAAAGACAGCGCGGCCAGCATCACGCAGGGCAAGTCGCATGCTGAGCTCTTGTTGCCAGCGATCCAAGCCTGGGCCACGGACCTCGTGGAAGTTCGGCATTGCACATTTCAGTACCAAGCATGTTTCCCGTTACAGGACCTTGCAGATGACAAGTTCCTGGGCGGCTCGTTTGTCGGGCGCTTTCTTCTCTCATCATCGCTCGATCAAAAACACGCTTTCTTGAGTTCACGTGGAGATTAGAGTTGAGAAGGTTCGGCTTTGCTGGGCTCAAGCTGAGCCAGGCCATGCTGCAGAGCCAGGTCCTGCAAAGTCCGCTTCACTGTGCATGGCAGCGGCCGTAGCATATTGCAAATTCCTCAAGTTCTGGCACTTGCACGGCACTGGCTGAGCCATGGCAAGCCAAGATCCTCGAGCCAAAGGAGCAGAGGAGTGCCCAGCTTGACGAAGCAAAGTGAAGCCTAAAGCATCAAGGAACCAACGTAAGCTGGACAATTTACAGGAGATGTTGATGCATTTGTCTTCGGGGAGGCGAAGAGGAAGGCATGTGTTTGTTTTCGACCTCTCATCCTGCAACATGGGGTCGCCTTGCAACGATTGGCAGGGCACGAGGGCCTTCATTGAGCAAAGACCAAGATCATCCCTTGGAACTCAACCTTTCGCTCATGGGTAGCATGTTCGTTCATTTCCTGTCCAATCAGTTCTTCGTGGTCAGGATCTACAGTTTGAGAAATGCCTTGGACGCGGATACTTCGGAGAGGTGCCGTGCATGTGCCAAGGTGCTCGTCTCTAGAACCAGTGAACACCAGACATCATGTAAGCTGGTGGCCGATCCTTACCTCGATGTGGCGTTCAATCCCCACATGCATTGGCATAGCCTCTCGCAGATCGATCTTGTCCGGCTTGCAGACGTACCGTACCCGCAGGTCTGGCAAGCGCAGACCAAGAGCGACCACAAAGCCGTCGCGGTAAAGAAGGTTCTGACATCTGTGAAGCAGACTGAGACTGGGGACAGTAGCCACGAACTGCAAATGCTCGGGCCGAACATAGCCGAATCGAACGGACAATATCCAGCACTTGCACAGGTCCGTTTGCAGCTGATTCTCGAGAACCAGCTCCTTGACCAGCTGAAGCGTCACTCGGCATGCGTTCGACCCCAGCAGAAGGTCAACAGTCTGACCCGCGCTTTCCAGGTGAGGTCAACATTCTGTACTCTTTGCAGCATCCGCGGATCGTGAGGCCGGGAGGTGTTCGACTTTGCAAGAACAGAGAATAACAGAGATCTGTCAGGACCGAGTCCAAAAGAAGTGGCTGCAGTCAAGAATCTATCTCTCATCAATCAGACTGCACGAGAAGCAAGTGTTCTCCTGAGCGAGGTTGTACTTCCACTTTGAGGACAAGTACTTTGTGCCTCCGGGCTGAACACGGAGCCAGAGATCTCTTTTTTTGTAAGCCAGCTTTTTTCGGCAAGAATTGATGTAGCTGGCATGAGGTACTTGGGCATGGAGTTCTGCATCGGTCCCGCGGCTAGAAACGGCTAGTATCGTGCCGCTACCAGTAATGCCCGCTGTGTTATCTCGACGCGGCTTCTGTTGGACTTCAGGTGGGAGCTTGTTCGACAAGCTTCAAAAAGCGGAGAAGTTCACTGGCCAGCGTTCGAAGCCAAGAGAGTCAAGTGGCAGTACGGGTTAGACGAACGAGGCCCGCAGGCTCCACATCGAAGTGTGCAAGTGAGATCGCAGAAACGAAGCGTGACGGCAGACGGGAAACCAGTAAAACGGACACGACGGGAGATACATAGAATTTCGGACAGGCTGTATTGTTGTTTGGATGCTAGGGTTTCATTTTGCCGAGGTTCTTACAATATCTGGCATTTCCAGGCAAGATTGTCTTTACTGGGAGCAGCGCATCCAAGCTTTCCGACGAAGGCGTTTCCAATGTAAGGAGCACGCTCCTTGAGTTTGTGTAGAACTTACTCATGCACCCTGCGAGTTTAGTTCAGCGACTTGTGCAGACATCCGGCGGCTGCTGGGGTGTGCTGCAGATTCTCAAGAAACTCAGAAACAAGCTCAAGGCGTCGACCAGCAGAAATGAACACCTGCAACATTTGCGTTGGCGATCCTATTCTTTGTTTGGTGCAGCTCGAGGTGCCGCAACTTACTTCCTGCAGACGCCTCTCGGTCACACGCAGAGAGAGAGTGTGTGTGTGTGTGTGTGTGTCTGTGTCTGTGTCTGTGTGTGTGTGTGTGTCTGTGTGTGTGTGTGTGTCTGTGTGTCTGTGTGTGTGTGTCTCTGTGTGTGTGTGTGTGCAACTCCTGTATCCAAGGATTTTGAGTCTCTAAAGTTTTTGCACTGATGCTTTGCATTGGAAGAAAAGCAAGGAGTTTGAGTTTCTAGATTCTAGAGTCTTTGCATCATTGCATTGTATATGAAGAGAAGCAGGGGGCTGGCAGCCTATTCCGTGATGCCAGCCAACGAAGCTAGCGGAATGGGTTGAAGGAGCTATGGACGCATAGCTCTGTACCTGCAGTTTCACTCGCTGATCGATTTGCATCTTCAGTCTTATGAGCCTTGAGTCCAAAACATTCAATTGTGTCGCTCATCTAATGTATGCATGTCTTTGAGATGAACTTGGAACAAAAGAAGATTTCTGAGGCCTCAGTATTCGAACTCAAAATAATCTAGATGTGAAGATTTTGCAGCTAAGACAAGATGTATCCACAAGAAGTGAGAAAGAAGAAACATTACGAGACAACCGGCAGAGACCGGATTTCCATGTGTGTTGTTCGGCTGGTAATTCTGACAAAGGGCCAGTCATGGTTGCAGCTGCAACCCCTCCAAGCATACTCAGGACATCCGAATTATACCCAAGTGAAGAGATTCAATTCTGGTTTGCAACCAGACTACTTTGCAAAGACCCAATGCACTTTAAAGGCTAACGCAATCCCAGGTATACCCCTGCCAGAAAGCACCCAAGCATCTCTGATATGTCTGTTCGCAGGTGTATCAGACTATTGTGTCATAACATACCCAAGAAATCCCAAGTATACCCAAGGTCATTCATTGAGAATGATCACCCAAAGCTGATCCATTGTGTTGATAGTTTTCTGTTGAGCAGTCCCAAGGCTGATCCAACGCTTATGCGATCCGAATTATACCCAAGCTGATGATGACATCCGAATTATACCCAAGCTGAAGATGATGATTCGTCCGTTCGCCACCCAAGAAGCACCCAGCGTCCGTAGGCCTTCAAGGCCTTTGCGTTTGTAGTTGAGGTAGATGTATCTAGAGTAGATTTAGCTTTCATCATCATTAATTTTATACTTCTCGTGACTAGGCTTCGATCGCCACCCAAAGCTGATCCAGCATCCGTGCTTTTTCGTCTCGTTTCATCTTATTTCCATCAGTAGCATTCGTGCTCAAGAGGACGAAAGGCGAGATACCAAACAACAAGGCGAGATGAAGATCATCAAATGTATCTAATATCACTTTTCATACTTTGCATCTTTTGCATTCCTTTAGCCATGCCGACCGTCCAAATCAATGTGTATCGTTCCAATTCGGCTTCAAGATCTAGAACGCCGCGCCCAAGAAGTAGATCTACTCGCCGGAGAAGAAGTAGATCTCCTCGCCGAAGAAGTAGAAGTGGTCGAAGGAGACATCACCTCCTAGACTTTGGAGGGGTGCAAGTTCGGCACCTTCAGCCATTAGGGCTACAACCACAAGACAAGGTGAAAGATTCTTGGAATTAGAACAGGTTTTCCTTAAGAGTTGAATTCTTGGATCTTTTCTTTTTTGTGAGGCTTGTGTTCATTCAGTCGCTAAGTAAATCAGGAACATCGACAATTCAGTCAGCGCCTTTATCGGCACCTCAGTCAGCACCTTTACCGGCACCTCTTTCAGCACCTTTACCTGCACCTCTTTCGGCACCTTTACCGGCACTTTACCTGCACCTTTACCGGCATCTTTACCGACGACTTCAACTACAGTAGAAAGAAACCTTTGCGCCGCTTATTGGGCAGTCTACAGCTGGACAACCTACAGAAGGAGGATACTACAGACGTCTCTTATTCAATAAGAGGTACTTCAGTGGTCCTGTACCTCCAGTTGGAAAGGACGAGGATATTCAATTCGAACTTGAGGAGTCCGCCAAAGTCCTTGTTCCGAATCCTGCTCCACCTATGGGCACATTGAAGTTGACTCTTTTGGATCCCTCTTTATGGAAGTCCTATCAACTTTCTGAACTCAACACGTATGCAAAGCGCAAAGAGTTTGTGGAGCCTGTCCTCAACAGAGCCCTGCAGGTTCCTGAAGACAAACTACAGTCTGTTTGCAAAGAGCTGATTCAAATTCAGATGGTATCTAAGAAGTCACCAATGTTTCCTATGGATGTCAAGACGTTGCAGATTTTTGCATCGGCTTTGATTTCTAATGATCTTCAGGCTTCAAGTGTGATTGAAGGAGCAGCAAGTTGGTAGATTGATGGAATTAACGTCTGGCTTTTTCGACTAAAGGGAATGCCTGGGCCCAACTTTGCGGAGATTCCAACGAACTCAACATCGTATTATCATTGGTATCATGCTGGTGGAATTGAAACTGTGTTTGGAGCATTGGCAACTGGAACGATTCTTCCATGTTGCTCTGACGGTCTTCAACTTCCTCCGTCAATTCCTCTACCAGGATTCTTTGCGAGAGTACGTAGAGAAGATTCGCAAATTACTGAAGAGCAGCTACTTCAAGACAGCCGAGACATGCATGGACATCCCAAGAACAGTCACGGCATACACTACTCCGGTGCGATTTTAGGCAACCACATCAAGCTTCCGCGAGCATCTACGTGGTTAGAGCAGTTTACTTGCTTTAGAGCCGGGCTTGTCAAAAGCAAGAGCACTGACAAACGTTGGTGCGTTAGAGCTGATTGTGGTATATTGTGGTAAGATTGAGTTTGCTTGCCTGACGTGCAAGCAAGATGCCTAAGAGCTTTTGGTGCGCATATGTTTCACACCCGTATCAGAGCTTCAATTTGGAATTAAAAGGTTGTGATTCAGCATTCTCAATTGTCTTAGCTCGTGTGCCTTTCGATTTGGATGTTCTTGTGTAGCACGTTGGATCAAGCAATGTAAGGGATTGCAATGGCCAAGAAGAAGAAGTACAACAAGATTCACAAGAAGAAG